GAGCTCTGGTAGCATAGTGGCTAAAGCACTTGACTGCTAACCAGAAGGCTGGCGGTTGAAACCCACCAGCCACTCCTCGGAAGGAAGGTTGGGCAATCCTACGTCCGTAGTGATACTGCCTCGGAAACCCAAGGAGGGGTCGCTATGGCTATGAGTCGGGGCCGACTCGATGGCAAACAACAACAACAACAACAGTGTTTACAAGGCTGTAAATCTTTATAGAAGCAGACTGCCACATCTTTCTCCCATGGAGTGACTGGTGGGTTTGACCTGCCAACCTCTTGCTTAGTAGCCAAGTGCTTTAACCTCTGTGTTACCAGGGCTCCCTGTACCTGATAAGTATTTATTCTTTATTTGAGATTGATGAATTTTACATCTGTTAAATAGCATATTTTATCAATGGAACTTTTTTTTTTTAATCATTCCATTCACTGCTCCAGTGTCACCTTATCAGAGAGATGTTCCCTGACCACTCCTATCTAAAATATTCCCACAACTACTGTCCCAATCATTCTCTTCCTCTACCTTGCTTTATCTTCTCCTTAGCTTTTATAACCATGTGATATATCATGTATATATTTGTTTATTGTCTCTCCTTCCTTTAGAATTTCACCTCTGTGAGAACAGAGACTGTTTTATTTACTCTTACATTTTCAGAACTTGGATTGATGGTTGGCATAAAAGATGTGTTTAATAGGTATCTGTTGAATAAATAAATGATTTTCTCTGTTATCAATATTAATTTTTTATAAACTGACAAAAACTGAAGGCTAGAAACATTTGTAATAAAAATTTTAAATGTATAAAGGAAGTTTAATTACTTTCTGATTAAACTATAGTGTAATAAATACGATACATTATGTAAAGCAAGTTCTATATAATGCATTTATTGTTACCTAAATAAAAAAGTTAATTAGGATCTGTAATGGGTGCAGGAAAATTACTACATAGTATTTCAATTTTCCCTAAATTTCTTTTTATGGTTTCAAAGTTTGGGAATTTTACATATCTTCTATAGTCATATAATTGGGATGTTTCGAGGTTCCTTAAGATCATCCACATTTGGTGCTTTCCTAGAAGGATTCATAGGAATTCAGTCTATAGTTGTACTCAGAGCTAAGGTATATTATAGAAAAAGGATATGTGACCGGATCAGCAAGGGAAAAAGACAAAGGCCAAGTCTGGAGAAGTCCATGCACAGGCTTATGATGCTCTTTTCTTCCCATGTGGTGAGGCAAGATGACAAACTGAGTGGCCTTTCTCCAGCAGTGAAAAATACAGTAAATTGTTCAAAGTTTCTGCCCAGAGAAGCCCATTAGAAGTTCAGCTCTCAGGATTTCTCTTGCAGGCTGGTCATATAGGCACTGTCTGCCTAGCAACTATCAAAATTCAGACTCCTAAAGGGAAGCAGGTGTTTAGCATAAATCACATTGTTTATAAGACAGTCTATGAACAATGAATGGCCCTTATCAGTTAAAGAAATGAGGACCACTTAAAAGCCAAGTTCCCATATAACCAGCTAAGGGCCAACCTTGCAAGTAGCTCCTTCTAAAGATAGCAGCCTCAGGCTCACTATGTTAACTCTTTTCTGCATAAAGGATAAATTTATGATGAGATTGTACTATCTTAGGTAGAGGACTGACATTATATTTAACTTTTTCCCTGAATATGAAAGGACTACCATTGAGTTGCTAATAGTAGATTTGAGAGAATTTGGAGACAAAAGAGGGGTTCATGTTTTATAAGGTTGTGAATAAAAAAGTGCCCACTAATTCCTGGGAGAAACCTTACTCTTATCTGTTGTCTCCTTTTGGTTGTTGCAGGATCAAAGCTGCCATCCCAAGTATCAAATTCTGTTTGGACAATGGAGCCAAGTCAGTCGTTCTTATGAGCCATCTGGGCCGGCCTGATGGTGTCCCCATGCCTGACAAGTACTCCTTAAAGCCAGTTGCTGTAGAACTCAAAACTTTGCTGGGCAAGTAAGTTCTAGGCTGTGGTGTGGTTTGCCTCTGGCATTGTTATTAAGTATGTTGTCACTGGTTCTTAACTTTCAGACTGCTCAAGTCTTGCCATGCTTTGCTCTTCGTAGGGATGTTCTGTTCTTGAATGACTGCGTGGGTCCAGAAGTGGAGAAAGCCTGTGCTGACCCAGCTGCTGGTTCTGTCATCCTGCTGGAGAACCTCCGTTTTCATGTGGAGGAAGAAGGGAAGGGAAAAGATGCTTCTGGAAATAAGGTGGGACCTATGATTTTGACCTTATTAGGGTTGAGACTAATTGAAGAATAAGGGAAGCTCATTTTTTCCCTTAAAAATGTATGATATACATATAAAAATGTATACATCATAAGTTTATAGCTCAAAGAATTATCACAAAGTAAACAGATTTATGTAACCACCACCTAGGTCAAAGAATACAATATTACCAGCATTCCAGAAACCTTTTGAAAAATGTGTGATCATCCGTCAGATGTGTGTTCAGTGAATATGCTAATTTCTGATGGTCCCTTTGTTATACATCTGGCCTAAGAAACATGAGGATTTTTTTCTGACAGTTAATTTTTTCTGAGAGATAATCACATCTGAAGGGTAGACTGTGATTCCCATGTTTTGATAACAAAACAACCACAGGGTGATTGTTGGGTGAGTATCCATGCTATATATCAGCTGTTCCTCCAGAAAGCCAGTTTTAGACATTTTTGTTTGTAATCAAGGCTGGAACAACATTTTCTAAGTTATAGGCCCTGGTGTGTTATGGAAGGACAATCTGTATTCATATTTGGAAAGGGAATTAGCTTATAGCTTGATCTTGAAACTTTTATTTATTTATTTTGTTGTTGGGAATATACACAGCAAAACGTACACCAATTCAGCAGTTTCATGTGTACAATTCATTGATAGAGATTTATGTTCTTTGACTTGTGCAGCCATTCTTACCCTCCTTTTCTGAGTTGTTCCCTCTCCATTAACATAAACTGACTGCTCCCTATCGTTCCTATCTTTCTAGTTACTTTTGTCAATTTGATCCCACAAAAATGTTTCTTAAAAGAGCATAAAGCTCAAGGCAGACATTTTTTACTAAAGTACTGTTAAGCAGTAAAGTATTGTTTAGTTTTAAGAAGACTTCAGGAGGTATTTTTTATTTTAGGTTTAAAGATTATCTCAGAACAATAGTTTCAGGAGTTCATCCAGGCTCCATGGCTCCTGAGAGTCTGGATTTTGTAAGAATATGAAGTTCTGTTCTACATTTCTCCCTTTTGATCAGGATTCTTCTATAGAGTATTTGATCAAAATGTTCAGTAATGGTAACCAGGCACCATTCAGTTATTCTGGTCTCATCACAAAGTAAGGTACTCTGGTGATGTAGTGGTTAAGGCATTTGGCTGCTCCATGGAAGAAAGATGGGGCAGTCTGCTTCTGTAAAGAGTTATAGCCTTGGAAACCCAATGGGGGTCACATCACAAAGTAGGCAGTTTGCCACACATTCCACTTCTTCCTCATATTCCTGACTTTCCTTCTTCCTCTTTTGCTCCAGGAGAACAGAGGTTAGTAATTGTCGTGCCCTGGTTGGCTGCTTGCATTAAGCGTCATACTTTTAAAACAGTGAATTAAATTTGGTCTAACTGGGATTTTATTCTTATAATTTATCTCAGCAGAAATGTTATACTCTCCTTTCAATTGGAAAAGAACTTAGTTGCTGCTATAACAAAAATACCACAAGTGGATGGCTTTAACGAGCAGAAATTATTTTCTCACAGTTTGGGAGGCTAAAAGTCCAAATTCAGGGTGCCATCTCTAGGGAATGTCCTTGTTTCCTTTCAACATCTGTGGGCCTGGTATTCTTTGGAGACCTCTGTGAGTCTTGGTATCAATCTTCCCCTGGGTCTAGGAGGTTCTTAGCACAGGCATCCTGTGTTTAAAGGAAATGCTTTACTCCTAGCTCCTCTTTCTTGGAGGTCCCCCTCCTTTCTGCTTGCTTCTCTCTCCTTTTCATCTCTTGTAAGATAAAGGGTGTGGCTCAAGCAAGGGGGTGACCTGAATAAAACTAACCAAAACCAAACTCAGAGCCATCGAGTCAATTTGATTCATAGTGACCCCTCCTTAGGTTTCCGAGGTGGTATCTCTATGAAAGTAGATTGCCCAATCTTCCTTCTGAGGAGTGGCTGGTGGGTTTGAGTCAGCCTTCTGGTTAGCAGTCAAATGCCTTAGGCACTAGGCCATCAGAGCTTCAGGGGTATGACTTAATTAAGACTTGCTTGAGTAGGAGCATGACTTGAGTCCCACCCTCCTCTAAGGCTGTGACTCGAGACACCTCACACTGATTCTGCCTCATTAACTTGTAGAAGTTAGGATTTGTAACACATCACAAAATGGAGTATAATTCACAAAATGGAAGACAGCCACACAGTACTGTGATTCATGGCCTAGCCAAGTTCACATATTCTTTGGGGATATAATTCAATCCATGACAAGGGACTATTTGGGATAGTTGATTAGAGTTAAGTAAACTATAATTGTGATAATATTGCCTTGAATTTAAAACATTTTTCTTAATTATAGAACATTTTTCTTTGAATTTCTTTATGATGAGGTATATAGGTATCATCATTTTATAGATAAAGAAACATAAATCTCAGAAAGTTTGAGGTGGTGGTGCTGGTGTTAGGCTATTAGATCAGTAAAAATTTTCTGTAAAGGACCATGTAGTAAATATTTTAGTCTCTGTGGCCATATAATTTGTTATAATATGGTCTGTGTTAGAACTTTAACTTTAACCATTGTAGAGCAGAAGCAGCCATAGACAACCCACAGGTCGGATCACTGTGACTTGACAAGTGGAATTCAAATATTAAATGATAAAGCTGATTCTTTGAGAATGGTTTTGAATTTGCCAAATGGGAAGAAGGGAAGCTGAAGGCATTTTAGGGTCTTTAGTATCTTGGGGAACAAGGTGCTATCAAACTCTCATATCAATTTCTTTTTGTACTTCTAACATTTCTTAAGGTCACTGGGAATACTTGCTTTCAAGCAGTTTCTTTTCTTAGCACAGCAGGCTCTGGTCTTGCCTTATAATGCCATTGGCATGGTCTTGGTACAGCAGTAGAAGTCAAATGCTGACCTTAAGTGTGGTGCCATTTTAAACTGAAACTCAAGATGCATAAACTTAAGGGATTAGAAATAGCAGGAGGCACCAGAAAATTGAGGCAAAATCTTTTGTTCAGGAAATGATGAACCGACTATGCTAGTCTGTACCTTCCTTTTTTTTAAATAAATGATTATTGCCTTTTCTATGAAGGTATACACAACAGTTTAGGTTTCCATTCATTCATTTCTACATAATTTGTTCAGTGACATTGGTTGCATTCTTCACAATGTGTGAGCATTCTCATTATTTTCATTTGGGTTGTTCCATTTCCATTCCCCCACACACATGTTCTCCTCTGTTTTAAAGTACTTATTGACTATTTGGTCTCATGTAGGTGATTTTTTAAAGGAGCACAGTATATCCTTTCCTCATTTATCAATTCTCTCCTTACTCTACATTTCACATTTATGACAGTAGTAAAAAATTTACTGTTCAACTATTGTTTGCATTAATGATATGCACCTGGCAGTAACGAATGTCTAGGTGTGAGACAGAATCATGTTGGCCGTGATGGTTAAGGTTATGTGTCAATATGGCTGGACTTTGATTCTCAGTGGGCACCCTCTCTTCGCTTATTCACATGGTTAGGTTCGAAAGACCAGGTCATTATGTGAAAATGGACGATGACCACATCACATTACAAATAGAGGGTGTCTACATCATTACATAAATGCCAAATCTCATCATTATATAACTATCAAACCACTGAGAATCATTATGGCCCAGCCAGGTTGACACATAAACGAGGAGTAAGTGTATCCCCTTTTAACTAAATAAAATGTTTTCTGAGGTCCTTAAATTTAGTGGAGACCTTTTCTGTTGTCATGTTTCCGTCTGGCTTCTCTGCCTGCCCTTTGTTGCTTTTTTGATGAATACATATCAGGACCTCATTCTCCTTTGTAAAAAAAAGGCCTTGATAGCCAGTTGCTTGTGAGTGAAATCATACAAATTTTTTGAGGAGATTATGTTAAAGTGAGGAAATAAATCAGGATAAGGAGAAGGAGGCAGAGTAATCACAATCTTGTCCTAGAGAATAGGGTAGAGGCCAATGGGATGTATTTAACTTTACATGATATCTACTTTGTTTAGAGGTTAAGCCATGGTTCAGGAATCCTAGGTTTACAGTTTCATGGAGAGCAGAAATAGCAAAATTACTGAAAGGAGAAAGAACATCTCTTTGCTGTTTATAAAAAAATTTCTCTCCTATCGGCTCTGAGTCTTTAGAGATATTTAAGGGTTCTTGGTGGTATGAAATGCTTTTACAGTAGTCTTTGGAACCATCAAATTTCCTGTATTGGTTTTAAATTTTTTTTTTTCCTGCAGGTTAAAGCTGTGCCAGCCAAAACAGAAGCCTTCCAGGCTTCACTTTCCAAGCTAGGGGATGTCTATGTCAATGATGCTTTTGGCACTGCTCACCGAGCCCACAGGTACCCAGAGTCTTTTCAGCTGAGAGCACTGTTGCCGTTTACACAAGTAGCCCAAGCTGTGGGAGCTTTTGGAGATTTCTGTGTTATACCATGGTCTGATGAGCTCCTGTCTAATTGGTGCTACTATTATGGCTCTTGTTGAGTATACCTGATCTAAATAGGAAATGAGAGTAAAAAATGCTGGGAATTGTGGAATTTTTTGACCAGGCATGCTAGTCTTTAGGAAGAGATTGCTCTTTCCTACTTTGGATATTACATGTAGAGTTCTCCTTTGTGAACATTATGAAACCAGAACCTTATGCTATCAGTAGGAAGCATATTGAGGAATCATCTTCTGTTGTCATGAACTGGCTGATTACTTAACTGTGATGAATCCTTGGTCTGCTGAAGACTATAAATTGGGTAGCTTCAATTCTACCTAGGGTCATTGTTTTTTCTTTTTTTTCCCCTTGACCCTGCAATAATAGTTGAAAACCTTATCTTGTTATCTGAGTGTTTTTGTTGCAGTTTAGGGTGCAAACTATTAAGTGTTTGGCTGTTAACTGAAAGGTTGGCTGTTCGAATCCACTTAGCTGCTCTGAAGAAAGACATGGTGATCTGCTTCCATAAAGATTACAGCCAAGAAAACCCTATCAGGCATTTCTCTTCTGCCACATGGGGTCACTATAAGTTGGAATTGATTTGATGGCATCCAACAATAACAGGAATGAATACTGTGGTCTCAGAAGTGAAAGTATTTCAGTGATAAGGAGATGGCCTCTAGAACTGAGAGAAATGATAGAGATTGACTAGAATTTGAGTGTCTTTGGTCTTTTTTTAGTTCCATGGTGGGAGTGAATCTGCCACAGAAGGCTGGTGGTTTCTTGATGAAGAAGGAGCTGAATTACTTTGCCAAGGCCTTGGAGAACCCAGAGCGACCCTTCCTGGCCATCTTGGGCGGGTAAGAAGAAGTCTTCTAAGATCATGTGTGGTTGTCTGGTGATAGGCTGTATCTTGGGTGGTTTGTTGTCAGGAAGTATAATTAAGCTGGACAACTGAGGAGAATTTAATAAAGGGCCTATTCATAAAGGCATGGGAAACCAAAAAGGGATGATGCAATAATCTGGGGCTAGCAATGGCCATTATTGTCCCTGGGCCTGAAGGGACAAGGAGGGCAGAATCCAGAGATGGTAGTTGTGTGGAGAGGGCCCTCTGACAGGAACTGTAGTCTTTGGTCAAGGGACATAATGATGGTCATCTGGCAGGGAGGAAACCAAGGAGATAAAATACTCTTGATCTCCCTGTAATCTCTTGCGGATGCACGGCCCACCTCAATTGGTTAAAACTCAGCTAGAAGCCAAAGGGTGAGGGATCCCATGCAAGTTAGCCTCCTGGGCCAGAGAAAAGGGCAGAGAAAGACAGAAAATGGTTCTGGAGGGAAGAATGAAAAAGATCCACCATAGCTGGTCATCTAACAATTTTGAAGCACTTGAGTCTTTCACATTCATATAATCTGGCAAGGTATAACTATTAAAACCTCATATATGTTTAAAATATCGCTTTGACCTCATTTTTTTTTTTTTATTTTATTTGGATTTGGGTGAAGATTTACAGAGTAAATTCACTTTTCATACAGCAGTTCACATATACTTTGTCTCATGTCAATGACCAGAATTTACAATGCAACAGCTCCCCTCCCACTTCCTCCCCATAGTTACCTCCTCCCAGTGTCCATCCCTTCATACTCTTCTGCACCCTGAGCTATCTCCCTATGCATAAGCAGCCCTTCCTTCTCCCATGATTGTTCTCTCCAGGGCGTGTGTCTGCTTGAGGTAAATGTTTAACTCACATGCCTGTACTTTGTTTGGCTGGAAACCACAGTTGTGGGTTCAATTCCAGACCTGAAGGGCAGCTAGGGGCCATAGTCTCAGTGGTTATACCAGGCTCTATTGGACCAGCAAACCTGGTCCCCACCTTCTTCTTTTTTTTTTTTGCCTCCAAATGATTTTGAGTTTTGTTCCACATTGTTCTCCCTCTCTATGCAGGATCTCCTACATCCCTTCCAAGTGGATGGCAGTGGTAGCTGGGCACCATCTAGTTCTTCTGGTGCTTTGACCTCATTTTTCCAGATCACATATCTATTTTATATTTTCTACTATGAGGAAAGTCCCATGTGGATGATGATATTCTAATGGCTTAGTTAAAAATTTTAGAATTGAGGCTATAAGATAAATTTTAGGTGATAAGGTAGGGAGAGAGAGCTGAGACTGCTAGAAGAGGTAGATAATTCCTATCATCTGGCATGGCTAGCTAGGCAGCAGCCTCTTAATGGTTAGAGGTCATGGCCCTTCTATGAGTTGGGTTTTTTTCTAAGATACTGAAAACAATTAGCATTTCCCTATAAAAATTGGCTCAGGGGTTGGGTGTCAATTTCAGGTAACAGTTGCTCCCTAAGCTTCAGGAGCCCAGTTTCAGGATCCAGAAAAAAATTATGTTGGGTATAGGTTGCTTTCTGTATCTTGTTCTGGCAAAAAGGTATGTTCCTGGAAGATTACCTATGAGTTTTATGCACTGGGTTATGAAGGTCAAACACTGATCTTTGCTTCCCTGAAGGTTAGGGTTTGTTTAAGCTGTCTGGTTCTTTAACCTTCTGTTAGGCCTGGAATTTGGGAGTGAGTGCCACCTAGTGGTTATGGTTAGGTTTTAGACTCAACCTGAAGTAGCTGTCTTCCCAAGGAAGTTGGTGTGGAGGTTTTTTGCCACCTTTCTAGCTGTGTAGTCTCCATAGTCCATTAATAACTTTTTTTTTTCCTGAAGATTTTTTTTATTTTTTGAAAAAACTTTATTGTAGAAACCTTCAAACATGTATATAAGTTGAAACAATAATATAACCCTCCACACCCTGATATCCATTCCTCTCCTCCAAGAATTAGTGAGATTTTTGCCAATCTTGTTTTATCTCCCTATTTTTTGGGGGGCAGGAGCATTGTAAAGCAAGCCTTAGACATCTTGTAACTTTACTTATAGCACTTCTGTATACATTTCTTAACTGATAAGGAGATTTAAATCACCACCATGTTATAACAAACAAGATTGAACAGTTTTGTTAATATCATCTACCACCCAGTTTGTATTCAGATGTTCTCAATTATCTTAAAAATATCTTTTTTACAGTTGGTTTGCTTGAATCAGGATCCAAACACAGTCCACACATTGTATTTGATTGTTGTTAGCCAGTTGCCATTGAGTCAATTCCAACTCAGGGTGACCCCATTTGTGTCAGAGTAGAGCTGTGCTCCATATTAGGGTTTTCAGTGGTTGATTTTTTCAGAAGTAGATTGCTAGGCCTTTCCTCTGAGGTGCCGGTGTGTGTGAAAAATGTTAACACAGTTAGCTGCTAACCAAGAGGTTGAAGGTTGAAGTCCATCCAGAGGTGCCTCAAAAGAAAGGCCTAGTAATTTGGTTGTTAGGTATCTTTTATTCTATAATAGTTCCCTCTTCTTTATTATTTTTCATTCCATTGATTTGCTGAAGAAACAGGCATTTGAGCTATAAATATCCCACATTCTTTAGGAAAGGTTGAGTATTTTTTTCTCCCTTTATTTATTTTATGTGACATATATATAAGGAGCCTTGGTGATACAGTGAGTATGTATGTGTATGTATATATATATATATGACCAAACATGCAGATTTATGTGTGGGTATATGTGTGTGTGTGTGTATGTATTTAATACAAATTATCCATTTATTCATTCTTATCCTTAGTGGCCAGTCCCTGGAGGATATCATGCTTGGTAAAGTGGAGGGTCAGCAAAAAAGGGGAAAACCTTCAATGAGATGGGTTGACAGTGGTTGCCACTATGGGCTCAAGCATAGCAAGGATTAGGAGGATGGTGCAGGACTGGGCAGTGTTTCATTTTGTTGTACACAGGGTCGCTATGAGTCAGAGCTGACTTGATGGCACCTAACAATATCCTTGTTGGCAACCACTGTTTACAAGTAAAATAAACAATTTCTTGCCATCCATTTCCCCCATATCACTGTTATTTCATACCTCTGTTTCACATATCCTAGCATAGGACCTGTCACAGATTAAATTAAAAAAACCAAACCCACTGCCATCGTGTCGATTCTGACTCATAGCGACCCCCTTTGAGTTTCCAAGGCAGTAAATCTTTATGGAAGTAGATTGTTCAGTCTTCCTTCCATGGAGTGGTTGGTGGGTTTGAACTACCGACCTTCTGGTTAGCAGTCAAATGCCTTAGGAACTAAGCCACCAGAGCTCCTTTGTAGATTAGGCACCTTATTGTTTATTGAGTGAAAAGGGAAGCTGAGACCTGAGGTGATTTGTCTGTTTAAGTGGGATTTTATTTTATTTTATTGTGCTTTGGGTGCAGATTTACAGAGCAGAATTTCTTTTACATTCAACAGTTCATGTACATTTGGTTTCTCTCCCCGATTACCATCACCAACCCTAACCCACTCTCCTCCTCTCCCTTCCCTGTGAACCCCCCATCTCTGTGCCCTTCTTAGTTATGCACTTCTATGTGTCCAGCTTTCCCTTCATGTGAAAGTTGCCCCTCTGGTGCCCCATGGCCAATTACTCCAAGGGATGTATCTCCGTAGAGTAGATGGGTACATCGCCCTGGGTTCAGTGTTCTGCATGTAAGTCTTACTACCTTTGGGCTGAGAGCCAGCCCTTGGGAGTAAGTCCTATCCCAGGCCTGAAGTATATTTTAGGGCCATAGTCTTGGGGCTCCCACCAGACTCCATCTGACCAGTAATTCTGGTCGTTATTGTGTTTTTGAATTTCATTCCGTTTTTCCTCCCACTGCATCCAGGATCTCCAGTTTTGACCCCTTCTTAGGTGGGATTTTAGATATATGAGAATATATATTAAAGGCAAGCTATTATTTATAGAAGGTATTTTAAAGCTTGTGCTTCAAGTGAATTTGCTTCTGTTTAGTTTGAATATCTTTCTCAGGGAGGTTAAAGGAGCATCTGTATTTATTGTCTCATATCCCTCCACTATATAAGCTCCAAAAGGAAACTTTGTTTTGACCACTGATTTTTCTCAAAGACCTAGAATAGTCCTCGACAGAGTAGATGCTCAATAAATGTGTTCAAAGGTCCAAAAGGATAATAAATGTCATAAAGTAAATGTCCCAACAACTGACCTTAGCCCTAAAGGTGTGGATTTAGACTAGGAATATCTCTATCCCAGCTTAATGTATATTCATTTTATATACAGTCTGATCATTGTTCTAAGGTTAGGACAGTTCTGAGTGGGCTCAGGGATCCTGAGCACAAGTAAAAATTTTGATTCTGATCTTTTTGGGGTGTGCAAAATAGACATATTTGGAACCCATGGTTTCTTTAGACAAGAGTAGGTCTTCTAAGCCCTTCTTGGTTAGAAATTCATTGGCCTTTTAGGTTGGAAAATAGAAAGCAGTGTCAAGCAGTGCTTTTGTTACTTTGTGGAACATTTCTCTGCACCTATGCCTTGATACAAATACTTAGGCCCAATATAATATGAATTTTCTAGTCCACTATTTGTTCTTCTGGTGATGATTCTCACTTTCCTTTTAGAGCTAAAGTTGCAGACAAAATCCAACTGATCAATAATATGCTGGACAAAGTCAATGAGATGATTATTGGTGGTGGAATGGCTTTTACCTTCCTTAAAGTGCTCAATAACATGGAGGTAAGAAAACTGACAAGTGGATGTCAAATAGCTATTCATGATAAATAGCAGGTTATGTAAGTTTAAAAAGAAAACCAGCTTCTTATTTGAGTCTCTAGAACTTCCCATACTTTTATTTTGGTGGGTTCATTTGTCTTTACATTGTCCTTTTATATTGTATTTTGTGTAGTTCCTGTCTGCTTTGTGAGGCAATCATATTCTTAGTGTAGAGGCTGATCATCATTATCTTCACTTTTCTGTGTAGATTGGCACTTCTCTGTTTGATGAAGAGGGAGCCAAGATTGTCAAAGACCTAATGTCCAAAGCTGAGAAGAATGGTGTGAAGATTACTTTGCCTGTTGACTTTGTCACTGCTGACAAGTTTGATGAGAATGCCAAGACTGGCCAAGCCACCATAGCCTCTGGCATACCTGCTGGCTGGATGGTGAGTGACTTTGGTTATTTTGTAGTATTGAGTGAACAGAAACTTTGGTGTCTTTCACTTCATTCAAACAACAAGCATTTAAAAAAAATAATAAAATCTCAACAGGAGGTCTTTGTCAGAGAGGCCTCCAAATGTTGAAGTGAGGCCTTCCTTGTTGGAACATCCATGTGGAAATGGAAAAGCAATAGTATTAGATTGTTGCTGTCTTCATCAGTAATGTATGTGTGTGGGGCAAACCATTTTTTGTTTCTTCATCCATCTAATGTTTATGAACTACATACTATGTTTGCTTGTCATTTTCCTTGGCATTTGGCTTTATTTAAGTGGTTCTTGATGTGTGGTCCCCCAACCAGCAGCATCAGCATCATTTGGGAACTTGTTAAAATGCAAGTTCTTGGGTCCACTCTAACCTACTTAATCAGAAACTCGAAATGAGGCCCAGCATTTTGTGTTTTAATGATGATTCTGATGTACTCCAAAGTTTGAGAAGGACTAATCTACTTCAGAGGAGCTCTGGTGGTGTAGTGCCTTAGGCATTTGACTGCTAACCAGAAGATTGTTGGTTCAAAACCACCAGCCACTCCATGGAAGGAAGACTGGGCAATCTACTTCTGTAAAGATTTACCACCTTGGAAACCAAGAGGGTTGCTATGAGTTGGATTCAACTCGATGGCAGTGAGTTTGGTTTTGGTTTGGCATCTAGTTCAGTGTTTCTCAGCATCAGCACTATTGACATCTTGGGCCAATTAGGTTTTCTTTGTGGGAGACTGTTGTGTGTATCGTAGGATGTCTGAAGTGTCCACAGCCACTGGATGCACGTAGAATGCCAAAAATGTTTCCAGATATTGTCACAGGTAGGTTGGGGAGGGGCAGAATTGATAGTTGAGAACTATGCTAAGTTGAAAATCTGCTTTGAAAAATGTGATGGACCCAAATATATTATGAAGCCATGGTTAAGAAAAATCTATCCCCACTATTAAATATTTGTTGAGAGTGAATTTTTTTTCTTGATGTACCACTCTACTTTTCTACACAACTGGATAAATGAAAGCTAAGACCTGACCCACTAAAGGCACTGGCAAAAAACAAAGCTCCAGGAATTAACAGAATGCTAATTGAGAAATCTGAACAAACAGATGTAACACTGGAAACGCATACTCATCTATACCAAGAAATTTGGAAGACCTAGTCTACTACTTCACTATCATAAGTAGCGTGGTTAAGAATATCTTTCTACCACCCATCTGTCAGTTTATAGTCTTGTGGTTTGTGGGTTGCTGTGTCACTGTTTAGGAGCTCTGGTAGCATAGTGCCTAAGGCACTCGACTGCTAACCAGAAGGCTAGCGGTTCAAACCCACCAGCCACTCCTCGGAAGGAAGGTTGGGCAATCTACTTCCGTAGTGATACTGCCTCGGAAACCCAAGGAGTGGTCGCTATGAGTCTGGGCTGACTCGACGGCATGTAACAACAACAACAACATGTCACTGGTGGTAAGAGCTGAGCACGTTCCAGGGGGTTTTAAATGGTATTGAGTTGAGAAGTTGAGTTTTCTATGTAAAATAACTTAATGTTTAAGGTTAGTAATGTTCTCATTATATAACCAATTAGGGCATTAACGGACCAAGTTACATAAAGTCTTAAGGATTTCAGAGGGAAATATGCATATTTAAATTTCCAAAAGAAGTTAAATTCTTTTACATTTTAAAATATATTTAAGGGAGACAGGAATTACAAAGTTACAGGAGGTAGATTTAGGAAGTGATGGATTTATTTATGTATTTTTGTAGTGGCAATTTCCTGACTGTATACTTATGTCCAACTTTAGTAAATTTTACACTTTAAACATG